TAGCGGAGTTTGAATAAATAAATGATGGATAATGGAAGTAAAATGGTTAAACGCACAAGACTAGAGTCATACCGTCATATGACTCTGGAAGGATGCTCCTTTGGACCATTAGGGGGTTGTCCAGACCCTTCTGTCGTTGGTTGCCGAGTACTCCCCCTTGTGGTCCTTCAGGTGTCTCCCAAGGAATGCTCAATATTCTGGTAGATCTTGTATAATGGTATTCCTTTATTTTCAAATTAAAAATTGACAAAACACTATACCAATAAATATTGAGTATAGATAAAGTCTTGTATATGTGAAAATAAGAATGTCCAAAACGCGTTTCGCCTGATGAACAGAACAGGCTTCCTCAGTTGGCTCTAACGTTGTTTCTTCACTTGCTCCTTTATGGGGAAAAAAAAAAATGTTTGGGCACAGAAGTGTAAGCTCATCCTAATTGGTCAATCAATCAGAGACAGAAAGCAGGCACAAATTCATATAAAAAACTTGTACTGGAGAAGGGATTATGGGATAAAATCAGACCAAACACTAGAACGAGAGGCACATTGGGCTTCAGACAGAATCTTGACTTGAGCGTGGCAGTATTAGGAACTAGAAAAGGTAATTTTTCTTTGCATATTTTTAACATATATATATATATATATATACACATACATATACACTTGCAATGCATTAAAAGAGGGGGAGGACTCTTGCAGCCTCATAGAATTCATTTACAAATAAAAGATTTGTCTAACAAAATACGTACATAGAGTGGAGAAAGAGGGCAGAATTATTACACTAAGAAACTTTAAATTACTTGAAATAAAAGTTAAGATTAAAAAAGAACTCATGCCGTGTTCAAACTTCCATTTCATGCCAATCTTTTATGCCTTATAAAGCAGATCACAAGATGTGATTGTTAAAACAATTATTTCCAGAAACTGAGCTAATCTGCTACTTGTGCAAGATTCATTGCCCCATCAGTCGTCCTATTTAAATCTTTAATAATTTATTTTGACCTTTTCTTTTTTGGAATACATTCATACACACGTTGTTTATGAAAATGCATACATGGGGTGCGGGGGGGCTAGCGGAGGATCTGAGCAAGTGTGGGGGTCCGGCTCCATACAATGAAAACAGACTTTTTTGAGTTTAAAGGAAAACCGCATAGCTACAAATACTTTCACAGCCCCCGAAGAGAGGTGGGGCGAAAACACTAATATTTGCCCTTTCAGAAAGTACCAATCTCCCTGATGTTCAATTGTCCTTTGACAGGCCTCCGTCACAAGTTAATAAAAAAAAAAAAACCTCCTCCTAGGCCTGAGAGATCGGTGGGTTGCAGCGACAAATTGGACACCGCTGAGTCCAGAGAAATAGCACAGCAACGGTCAGACACCCAGTCAAAAGTGGAATCCCTCACCAAGTTGGTACAGCATCTCTCCCGTACAGTGGCATCACTGAAGGCACGACACCACCTGAAAAATATACCTGAAACACTTGGCCCAGAGGCCCCGCTGGACTTTATCCATAAAGAGATACAGGCAATGGATTACGGCAAATAGTCACCCATCATTTCAGCCTCCAGGATCAGAAAGGCACTGAAAGCCCCTGCGGACGCATCCAGAGATATTATAGCGGACATCTGGGACATTGCAGTGAAATCGACTTATAGCCAGATCCAGAAAGCATCACAGGATTTCATTGGACAACTGCAATATTACAGTCTTTGAGGACTGCCCCTTTCAACCTAATGGACAGATGTAGGTTTATGCCGCTTACCAAAATCCTGCAATATCAAGGTACAGAAAGGGGAGTCTCGGGAACACGTGTGGTGCTGCGTGCAGACGCTGTCCACGCCCTGTTTGCCTCAGACGATCGAACAGAATTCTTGAAAGGTTTACAGTTGCCGCCTATACCTTTCCCGGGGCAACAGAGAGTTGTAGCCCCAGGTGATAACCAAAGCGTGGTGCGTGAACCCAAGTCCCGGACAGTAAAGACACAATCTCTGAGGCTGCAGGGTACCAGATAGCATTTTCTGTGCTGAGTTCTTCTGTCAGGTTGGACAGGCCTCAGGGGTCAGCAAGTTCCCATACCAGTCCTTTCAGGGCCTTTTCTCTGCCGTAGCTTATATTAAGCGCAATAATAATGCTACAAATTTGATTTGAAATCGTAATATTTATGTCTCTATTGTTGGACTTGTTTGAATTTTTGCGAGTGCCTTATTTACATGCCCTTACCTGCTAATGTGTGGACCTTATCTTCACATTTTCAGACTCAATCTACGTATTGTAAAGCACAAAAACATTTCGTAGTGCTATTCACAACTAAAGAATGAGGGGGAAAAAAATGCATACATGTGCTTACATATGTGTTCTAATTACCTCAAATGTTTGTACCTACATCGATTTAAAGAATTCTATCTCAAAATATATTGACCCAACCCGAGCAGTGTTTCAGTGTAGGCCAGAGCTTAGGAAGACATCCAGGAAGGGGATTCAGTTGCTTCTTAAACACACCCAAGCCTTTCACTGTATCCAGCACCTCTGCCCCCTAGTGATACATTAAGGTTATATCCCAACAACTTCTGCTTGTAACTTCGATGCATCACACTCCCTTACTGCCCCACTAATGACCAAAGATATCCATCTCTGGTCCATAACACCCTCCACAATGCTAACACTGGTGGGGAGGAAGAGGAATCAAAATAACAAAAGAAAGTGTGGTTACCCGTGTGTGGAGCTTTGTTTAGTTTTTTTTTAGTTTTTTATGTATGTTATCTGTTTGTGCTCTGCTAATAGAGTATGTATGCATTCATATGGCTAAATAGTTGTGGCAGTAGCCAATTGTATGTATTAAAGAGTGAAAGTGGCTTATTAGGTATGTAGAAAATAGACTTATAAGCGCAAACAGATTTCAGAGTAAAAAGTGAATCTTCTTTATTCTTCCACGAATGGGTATTAAAATTCAGTCATTCAGCAACATGAGGCATGGAAAGTGACAAAGCTTATGTTTGGTTAAAGTACAAGGGTAAGATGCACGTAAACTGCTGTTATCTGTCACTTTGTATGCCGCACCTAAAATGTGCAGATTTGTCAAACAAAAAAAAAATAAAAAAGTTATCCCACAAATTAGAAAGACTCAAATCTTTGTCAGTTCAAGACAAGTACACATTAACCTACAAAAACTTGTATAGCAAGTCCAACGCTGCGGTTACTAACTCCATTGTTCAGAGTATTGTATTTGTATTCCTAACACTATAGCGTTCCTTTAAAGTTGAATTTCCTCCTACAACAAACCAACACCTAACCCTGGAGTTCAAATAATTATTACCAAGCATGATTCCTCCTGCAACTTCATGTAATTCCTAAATGTAGCTTCATTTATATACCATAGGAAAGCGTAAAACAGGTGCTATTGTGGATGCCAAGTGCTTAATGATGAGAGAGGTAGTCTATTGGTTTAACCTTATTTTGTGACTGAATGAATTCCCCTTCCTATAGCGTACAGGGGAACGCAGTGTGGCAGGTTAGCAAATCTAGCCTTCATGAAAAAGAACTGGACAGGTTTAGCATATGATGAAACATTAAAGGATCACTATAGTGTCAGGAAAACACTTGTTTTTTCGGACACAAAGTCATCCTTGGGGGACTCTTACCCTCAGGTTAAAACCCCTTCAGCAGCTTACTTTAATCCAGCGCTGGGCTCCCTCTGCGCTGGTGACCTCTCCTCCCCTGCCGTCAGCTCCAGAGTGGAGCGGAATGCTCATGCGCAGCAAGAGTCACGCACGCATTCTAACAGTCCACAGGAAAGCTTTTCTCAATGCTTTCCTATGGACGTTCTGCACGCTGGATGCAAATTTCGCAACCAGCGTTGCAGAAGCGCCTCTAGCGGCTGTCAGGAAGACAGCCACTAGAGGTTGGATTAACCCTGCTATGTAAACAATATGTTTACATGTGAAGGGTTAAAACCTGAGGGACTTGGTACCCAGACCACTTCATTGAGCTGAAGTGGTCTGGGTGACTATAGTGTCCCTTTAAGGGGTCCGACCTGCAATGTTTAGCAAAGCTCCGATAAGCGCTGGGGTAGTATTCACCACTGACTGGTTAGGGCAGTGGTAACGTCACATTCTCATAACTGGGTATCCCATTTAAATCTCATCACCAGTAAGTGTGCCTGGCAAGACACCCAACGCAATCACAAATCATAGATTGTTTGAGCAATGCCTTTCTAGAATGGTAAATCGCTGCAGAATATGTTGTCACTGTATTCACATAATATGACCGTCTGCAGAAGAAATCTAATCACCTTACTGTGAGATGTAAAAGCTGGGAGCAAAGGACTTTCTAGTAAATACAAATTGTGCAATCCAAGTAACCCATATATTGGATGAGACCCCAAGAACAATTTCTATTAAGATTTACCTGGAATAAAACTCACCTATTTTTTTGTATAGGTGGGGGGCAGAAGAGAGAGGATACCGGTTTAGAATCATCCACCGCCACTGAATTAGGGTGCCAGGTTATGGGATGTGAAATCTCAGCCAACCATATTCACTAAAACCGTGTAAAACTTTCTACTAGCTTACAGAACAGATTAAGTCCAACATCATCTGAAAACAGCTGACTTTTGGCAAATTCGGCAATTGTAACCCAATAGATCACATTCAAACTAATTCACCTTGCATTTTGACAATGTACAATTCAGTGGCAAACAAAACAAAATATTTTGCTCTAGTTTGTCTTAAAATAACATGTAGACAAAAATGTGTGGGGTTTGTTTGTGTGTGGACATGTAGATTGTTATGCTATCCCTGAACGTTTTCCAAATATTTTAATAGGACATAAGTGATTCAGGGCCAAGAATCTAAAAAGTGGGGTGGAAATAAATATACGTTTTTACAGCTGAATGGGCCAAAGGTGGAGCAAGGTAAAATATATTTTGCTAGTTTAATAATTTTGTTACACATTTACATATCTGTCAATAGCAACACAGAACTTGAAAAAAAAAAAGAAGCAAAAACAGGTTTCTTGCATTTTTATTAAAGTAGAATATTTAAAATCAAATGACAAAAAAAAAAAATTAAATAGATCTATAATATAAAAATGATTGCTTTCAAGAGGCGCCTGTGGTGTTTACAGATCATACAAAAAGATACTTCATTTTTTAAATTAATGCACCTCCTCCCATCCCCAGTGTGAAATCCATACAACTTGTTTAGTATTAACCTCTGCATTGGTACAGAGAACCGCAATATCTACCCTAGAAAGCAGGATACTGCCGCGAGTCTCTGCCATTGAAGAGATTTTAAAACAGGTAATGGAAATGGTCAATAAAAAAATAAAAATTCAAGTTTGACAACAGAACAAGTTAGCAGTACGACATGCGCTCACACTCCTAAAAGAGACAAAATCTGGTAGTGGGCTCCAGATACGGTGGGACGTTGCATTGCTCTGAAAAGGTATTGCACAATTCTCTGCCACCGAAACAGGTTAAAGGACCGTAACAATGAATGTCCCTTCTTGCTTCAGAACCACCGACACAGAGTGGTCTGTTGAAGAGGTTAACAGCGCACGGTCTCTAAAAACAAAACTAACAAACCATAAAGTACCTTTCTGCGCAGACACACTGACTACAGATTAAATGCATGACGTAATTATCCACATTTTGTATACCTCCCAAAACAGTTATAACTTCTTAAACCAGAAAAATACACTTAACTTATTGCTAGCTGCTGGGTTCTAGATTTTATTACCCAGTTCAATATTATGCTTTGAGTAATATTAGCTGGAGTCCCTTCCATGGAGTTATTTTACTGGCAATATAAATTAACACATTATTGGAGTGACATGATTTAGTTTGAACATGTTTGGCAGTGCCGTTTTTGTCTAATCTGGATACCTGGAGTGTAAAGGTGTGATAATTTGTGGACCTGGACTCAGATTCCTGACATACCATTTTACATTTGCTTCCTGCACAGGGAGTGCATTGCACTTTTGTTCTCAATGGAAAAGCAACAAGCACTAGTACAGATTTGACCTTTAAGAACAATGTAACCTGCACAGGGGAACAGTGACAAAAAAAAAAGGAAAAACAAGAGAAGGGAATCAAAGTGACATTACTAGACATTGAGAGTAAATAGGCTACATTGCATGATAACCAATTTAAAGAAAAAGGAAATAATCTGACAGGTCCCCAAAACAAAAACAAAAAAAACAGCAAGTACCGTAGTCAACATTTTCACACAGTACAGGGCTACGTCAGATTCAAACACACAATACAATACACAGACATAAAAGAATTGCAATGCTGCAGGCAGTCACTATTGGAGGGAATGTTCCCTCACGTCAGATTTAAAATTTCCCAGTTTATAGAACCTCATGTAAATCACATGTGCTGGAGCACTGGCTATTTTAAAAGGGCTTATTGAAGTCCCATTAGTCTATAGCAACATACTGGTATGTTTAGGAGTGCCTTAAGGTCTCTCTCCATCACCAAGCTGGGACTGAGGAAGATTCGGTCAAGTGCTATTTCCCTGCTCCTGCTCAAAAAGCAGCACAGCAAGCTGGGAGCGTGAGCCCAATCCTTCTAGGTTGCTCTGCACACAGCGGTGGTAAATCTCCTCACTCAGTCGAGGGTTACACGCCCGAGAACGATAATGCTGCAGAAGTGCAGGCTCTATTGCTCGGAAGACATGTAGTCCTGAGTAGCGGATAAACATCTCATAGATGTCGAGCATTTCCAAGATTTCCTCGTTTTCCTGTGCATCTGCTGCCATCTTTGTTCGGGCTGCCATGTAGTCTGCGTTGTAGAAGCAGGCCTCCTCAAAAACATCTCTGTCAAAGCGGCCAGCATCTTTCACCAACTCCAGAGTGGCTGGAGGGGACTGCTGTCCATGCTCTGATACCTCAGGATTATAACCTTGGAAGTGTATGGGGAAAAATACCTGCCAGTTGTTGATTGTATTCATGCGGCATCGATTCAGGAAGTCTGTGTTAACATGGCTACCCACCCCGGCAAGGAAGAATAATGTGTCCACCGGATGCTTTTTGGAGATAATGTCCATAAGTCGGATTTGGGAAGGTGCATCAGTCTTCACGCTGATCCATGGGATCTTTAGGTCGTGGTACTTGCGCTCATATTCAGCAATCTGACTCTTTACTTGGCTGAAAATGTCATTTTGGCTAACCTGCTGAGCCTGGAAAGGATCATAGATAAAAAGGAGCGTAAGAAGAGAGTTTTCGTTGCCTTGAATATCAATGAAGGCTTGGAGGAAACGAGAGGCATATTCTCTGTCTTGGGCAGTCAAAGGGAGAATGATGTTGATTCGACTTGCTTCCGTTACATATGGCATTGGAATGATTTCCACCTCACTCAGAGGACGCACAAGGTGTACCCTCTTGGTTATGGAGCGGCTATGGCCCTTTTGAGTCACCAGTTCTAGCTGGAGATCTAATGTATATTCCATACCACGCGTGGGGTCGAAGCGTCGGTAGCCATTCAGGAGCTGTTGTTTGCGCACATGGAGCACAGGCTGGTACTTGCGATTCAGTTCATCAACGGCGGTGCTGATAACATCAGATACATCAGCAAGATCAGCTCCAATCAGTTCACACTTGGGGGAGCTGTCAGCACATGAAAACGTTTGGTCCTCAGTGAAGTAATCGTACCGTAAGACCTCAAAACGAGTCTGTGGTTTGAAAGGAGGGTGGATTCCTAGTGGCCAGGCTGCGGATTTCTCCCCATCAATGGACTGGCTGCTGGCATTTTGAATCTCCCTCTGTGAAAACAAAGAGCATTATTCAGGATGGAAATCAGTGCTGACTAAACAGTAGTTCTTAAAGCAGAAGTGGTCATGCTGGTTGGAGTAACCTTTTAAATAGAAGTGGTCATGGCAGCAGTATGTGCAGCGTTTCTGTGCCGGGGGCTAGTTACATTACCAGCACATGTGAGTTAGGCAGCCTGGAGAGAGTGAAACCCAATGACCGCAATCAAGCAGATGTGTTAAAAAAAAAAAAAAGATTATTGTTTCTTCAAATGAACACTGGGGGGCAGCACTGAATCTGCACAAAGTTTCGGTTTCATACGACCATGTACATGCAATGTTTACAATGAAGGATTCGGCTCAGGGGTATCAAACAGTTCATCAGTTCAGAAAGAGAATGAAGCAAACAAGTCCATGATGGGTCAGATGGGTGCTGATGGGTACTATTCTTTGAAAGTCAGAGGGCCATAATAGCTAGAGGGCCTTTCTTACTGACCCATTTCTGCATTTCCACTGCTGAAACCATTGATCAATATTTAAAAAGGCTGCAAACAACATACCTGTAATTGCTCGATTTCTAGGTAAGTTCGTTCCAACTCTAGATGGGCGAAGTGTTTGTGAAGACGATACATCTGCACAGGATCCAGCACTGGGTGAGCCGTAAAGGCATTTTTAAACATGGGGTCATTCTCTCTCTCGGGGTCCACATTCTTACCCAACTCAAAATAACGGTATCTTATTCCCTGCGAAAAGAGGGAGGGGAGAGAGGGAAAACAGTTATTGGAAAGAAGTAATCACACTTTGTACATCTTTCATTTGAGGCAAATGAATAGAATGAGTCACACACCCTGTTCATATGTCACAATTAGTGCGTAACTGTTACTTTAAAAATATTCCCAATTCTACCTCTTCGTCTTTAAAATGAAGAAGAAGATTATTACGATTATGACAAAAGGGTCACATCCTACCCCAAAATACCCAAACGTACTGCTTTTCATAACCTTTTTAAAAGGGTTCTATCAATCACAAGAAAGCAAGACGACCACTGCACCATTCGTAAAGGATCCTCTAGAACAGGAGTGCCAAAAAGGCAGATCCCCAGATGTTTTAAAACTACAACTTCCATGATGCTTTGCGTGTCTTTAGAATGACAAGGAAACTGTAGTTTTCAATCATCTGATGATCTACCTTTTGGGCACCCGTGCTCTAGTGTTATAGGTACACGCAGCTCCCAAATATTGTGGACTAACTCCCAATATCAGACTGACGACTTTTCACGTATTAATTGACTAGCACGTGTTTGACTAGGCAGCAATTTTGGAAACCTCTAATCTAAATGAAATATGAGCAGAAAGATGGAAAATGTGACGGAAACAGCACGAAGAAAGATATCGCGCAGATCACTTTGTGACAATGGATAGCTCTAGATCGCGAATGTAAGCATACGCAAAGACAAAAAATAAAAAGGTTTTTAAAATGACTGTTGCACTTAACATGCAAGAAATTCTGATGGTAGATGAAAACCAGCTGGCCTATGTATCCTTCTTGACTTTGTTACATGCTCAGGATGTGGGTCTGTAAGCTTTACCAAAATAGGACTAGTACAGACAGACACATACACACACACACACCCCCTACCACACCTTAAAAAAAAAGTTCTGGTGGGGTAAAATTCCACCAGCCATAAGACTTTCTTTTCCGACAAATCTCACATTTGCAGTGCTGTTAGTACTGCAAGGGATTCTGGGTGGGCATATGGAAAGGAGTTCAAAAAAGAATCACCATTTTGCCTCAAATTCTACTTTATACATGGATTCCTTGTAGTATATGGTTGCTGTATACATCAGCATTGAAACACAACTCAGGAAGAGATTCAAAGAAAGAGAACCACTCGGATAGTTTCATTGTGAATGCAAATCATCAGCATGAAACTGGTTACTGGCTTGCTATTAAGGCTTGCTGTTACTTGCGGAGCTGAAACCAACAGAGTTATGGTTGGACAAAAGGTGATTGAAAACCCCTTCCCACCTGGAAATCAGTGGATAGTCAATACATTGCAGTGCTTGTGGTGTGTGCAGGCCGGTGTTTCAAATGTGAGATCTCTGTTTGAAAAAGCAAGTCTTATGGCTTGACTGATGTGTGCATATCTGTGTTTAACAATGGAATATGTATCAAGAACTGCATAGGGCAGAGAAAAGTTGGTTTAAAAATTCTCAAGAATGTGCTTCTTGTCTGAGAGAAAGATGTAGAGAAATACAGGACAGGCATAGAAAGTCAGTGCTTGGGCTGCGAGGTCAGGTTTAAAACAATAATGGCATTTTATACAGCATGAGTCACCCAAACCGTCTCCAAGCCATGAACAGGACACACAATGCTGGGCTTTTAAATGCCGATTCTCGACCAAGAGCTCTCAGAGGCACACAAAGTGCTGGAACAGCATCCTACTTCTTCTGAAGCAAGTAAGGCTCTGGTACATTTTTAGAAGTGCACGTACTCCTGTACCGGCTCAGATCTATCTGTATCTAGTTCATTATTTGTATCATTACTTGTTCTAGTACCTTTTTCATGTGGTTTGTAAAAATATTCAAATCCATGCAGCTTAAATCTGTGGATTCACTGTATCTTTTTATACACAGATCCTGGCTGGGTAAAGACAAACGTTTCAGTAATGGAAGGATTTTAAGCAGAGCTAATCAATGGTGGTAACATTGATCTATTAATCACAATAAACGGTTCATATTAAATCAATAAGAATGAAAAGTGTCAGTACATACTACTATTCATGATGATTTATACAGGAAGTGGCTAAACGTACACAAAAGGTAAAGGTAATTTATCCATACGGAATATGGACTTTTAGCATGTGAGCAATATTAAAAGGCAAACTTTGGTTTAATTCAAGATGAATTTCAAATTTAAAGGGACACAGCTTAATGTAGTTGTTCTGGTGATCATTGTCAGTCCCTGTATGCTTTTTTTTTTAAATGCTTTGATTTAACAACTTTTATTTATAAAAAAAAAAAAGGCATTTCGGTTACATGCATAACAGTGAGTAGAACATTACTCCGTTTGGGGACTGCAAGAGAGGTTGCGCAATTATGAGCTTCTGCTTGTGTTTTGAGCGGATTGCGGTCCCTGTGTGCAATGCCTATGGCCTGTGCCCTAAGGTGGTACATGCTGATGCCCGGGGATGCGGGTTGCAGGCACCTTGTCATGTAGAAAATATCATGCGGATTTCAGGTTGTGGAGGTGGTAGCTTATCGTGAATAACGTGAGCATGTGAACCTAGATAATATGGGGTTAAGTAAAGAGATAAACTTATTTTGCAGATCTTTGTATAAGTTGTGTTCAGAAACTTCACTTAGAATGAATTACTTGGTTGAGCCATAGTTGAAATGAACTCTGACATTTTATATGGAATGTTACTGTGGTGAAAAGAACATGGGGAAGGGGTGGGGACAGGTAACCTGCTGGAGTGCAGAGGGACAACTAGAAAATATAAGGGGGAAAAAATTGTAAATCAAGATTTGTAAAAAAGATGAAATGGGTAAAGGAGGAGGGGGTTAAAAAAAGGTTCCAGATGAGAGCACAGAGTAAAAGAAGCTGAGGAAGGTAGAGGGGTAGAGGTTGGTAAATTAACCTTTAAGAGGTGGAGTCATGGACAGTAACTGGAACAAAAACCGGTTCTGCCAGAATACAAGAATGCACAGTTTACAGTTCCATTCCTCTGCATTCCTTCAGACTATACACCAAAACTGGAATCTGGTAGCAAATACGTAACATTCCGTATAAAATGTCAGAGTTCATCTCAACTATGGCTCAACAATTTTGTTATACATGGGTATTGAGGGTTTTGACACGGACATATCCCATCTTCCCGGGTTTACCATTATACAGCTTTTGGAATATTTCCTCATTCCTATCTATATAGAGTGCCTTTTAGGTTATAGGGCCTCTCCTATAGGATATGGTTGTAGATGATGATCAATATGTGGAGTTGGAATATGCCTCTAATACAGGATAATGGGGAGATTGGAGATGATAGTTGGGTAGAGTACCCCCCAGGTAGATGGGTGAAGGGGGCAGGTTATAATTTGTAATTTGGGTTTATCAGCATATCAAGACATTATGTATTGTTTGATAGACTGTTGTATGTGTCTTATTCTTTATGAGTAACCGGTTTCAAACCAATATCTATGTTGAGTATGGTGTATGTAAATTATTTTTATGTATTTTGTGATAAAACTAATAAAAAATTTATATAAAGAAAAAACAAACAAAAAAAAAAAAACAACAACACTATGGCTCAACCAAGGAATTCATTCTAAGTGAAGTTTCTGAACACAACTTAAACTTATTTTGCAGATCTTTGTCCATCATCATCTCCTCCGATGACCAACAGCCCACATAGCAATATCCCTTCTACGAGTTCAAGACGCAAAACATACTTAAAACTTTTAGTGCTGAATGGGATACAATGAAAGAAAACGTAAATATGTACGGCACACAGGGTCTAAGAAGATAAACAAAATGTATCGAATAACACATTCTAGACCTAAATACAGACTCCTAGAATATATCTATGTGGCTGATAAAACCCAATGTATTGGTGAGGTGGCAGGACTATCCATCTTCACCTAGAGCCAATCTAGGGGCTGCCATAGACCGCCAGGCATGAGTAGGTGCGAGGAGCAGCAGTCATTCCTCCAGATGCACAGAGCTTATGGCTGCTGGGATACAGCATGACATCATATCCTGGCAGCCGGCACTTTGTGTATGGAGAGAAGAATAGTGAAGTGGACAAGTTGCAGATCGACTGCAGGACCACGAAGGCTGCTGATAATGTGAAAGATGCATTGTGACTATAGACTGTAAGCTCGTTTGAGCAGGGTCCTGAACTACCTATTGTTCCTGTTACATTTTGTTATTGTCTCACTTGGTAAATTCCCCTTTTATTGTACAGCGCTGCGTAATAAGCTGGCGCTATATAAATACCAATAATAATAATAATAATAATAATAATAATAAGCTGGCTCTATATAAATAATAATAATAATAATAATAATAATAATAATAATAATAATAATATAGTATGTGGGTCAGCATGTGTTAGTTTGTGTGAGTGAATAGAGTGTGTGTATGGGTCAGAGAATGTGTGTGTTAGTGAAGACAAGGTTTGACTAAACAATTTATAATTACATTTTTAGAGTATTATGCCTATATACATACACATGTATATTAATATACGTTTATTATATTATTTACATTCGTATATATTATAAGCATTACTTATATGTGCATAAAACTCAAATTGTAGAGCATACAAATCTGAATCACATTACTTTAAAATAAATAAATAACTAAATACAGCCAACACACACACTGTATGTGTGCCACACAAAATCACACACAGGCAGCACACAAAAACACACAGGCAGCAACCACCACACATACTTTACATACCGACAGCACATACACTACGATAAAGTGAGAGTCTACACCAAGGGTAAGTCACAAAACTTTGATTCTAAGCAAAAAAATACCCATGTTCTAACTATAGCTAGAGAATATTTTGTGATCAGATATATTTGCCCCCATTTTTCCAGATTTAATTTGTGAAAATGGACTCTAGGCAAGGGCCCCCATCTTTATAATTAATATTTTTTTTGTCTCAGAACAAGTAGATTGGGCTACCGCTTTAGTCCCTTGGACAGGTAGATCAAAAAAATCCACATTCCGAAATTCCTGTGTTACATTCTTTGAGAAGCTGTTAAAAAGCATCACATAGGTTAACATCAATCAAACTAAAAGGATGTGTACAAGTTCAGCAACAATCCAGAAATTAAGAAAAAAACAAAACACAAACCAAAAATTTTAGAAAATCAACTTCTTCCTGTACCTATTGTTATACACCAATATCACACAAAGAAGACCCTGTGTCTCACCTCATGTTCCTCCACACAGTTCACATGCGTGTAATCGATGATACACCTCCCAAGCCACTCATCAGGTCTCGCGCTCAGGATATCATTGCGACAGTTTTCCAAGTGTGGCTGCAACTTCCGCAGAAGGCTTCTGGAGAGCAGATAACCAAAGCCTCCGTAGCAGTATCTCCCTTCCGTATCCCCTCCAATGAACTCCTCTGGTCGACCCAAGTAAAGGTCAGAGTCAATGCTGAGGTGTGCTGCCAGACGGGAAATCCGATGAGCTTCTGTATAAGTATCATCCTGTACCAGGTAAAACCAGTCATATTCTTGAACGTAGTGATCCAACAGATGCTTAACTGTCTGATACATGTTCCAGATCGGCCTGTCGTCTCCATGGGTAACCACTGACATGCCATGTGGAAGCTTCCGTCCTCGCATGCCCGTGAAATAGACTAGCTTCTCCAGCCGATGACCAAGAGTCTTATTTACTGCAACTGCAAGAGTGTTGAGGGTGGTCTTTGATGTGAGGACCCCAACAAAGAGACGCTCTCTGATTCCGAGTTCTGTGCTTATGTATCGAGATCTAGAACAAGAAACCACAGATTTAATTAATCACAGAGATGTGACAATATTTTAGGACATATTAGTGAAAGTAATGGAGATGAATGTTCCATTTTAACAAAACAAGAAGGTAGAGTACCTTCAGGACAGCTTTTGAGGAGATGCCTCATTAAAATGGATATAAGTAGAGCTTATTAGTTTTGATAGAAATGTAAAAAAATGGTTTGTGGAAATCTTGAACTATGGTTATTTATAAGAAAGGTCAAAGAGGAAGATGATATTAACGCCAATAAAACTAATTATCCACCTTTTTAACAGACACACAACACATCTAGTTCAGTTTGAAATACTAAATCCAGCGGTTTCCAAAATTACTTTATAGAAGAAAAATACACATAATGTGAAATCTTAGGCTAATTAGTGCCATTAGAAATTACTTAAAAAAATACTGCCAAGTTTTCTGGCACACTTATGTTCTTTGGCGGCACTACAGCTTTGAGCAGAGTAAAGAATTTAAAGAACTGGTCTAGTGCTAATTACTTGTAATGAGTTCAAACAGGCAGAAAGCAGTTTTCTCTGTTACATGCTGTGGGTGAGTCCGTGAGGAAGTAAAAAATTTTTTTGGGGAACAAAAAAACAAACACCAGTGCGTTACTATATACTTAAGCTATCCCCCTGGATCCGCCACTGGGTCAGAGGATGCCCATTATTATTATCATCGTCATTTATATAGCGCCAACAGATTCCTTAGCAATTGGTAACCAGGCCCTCGATAACAGCCTAGACATGGTTTATTGTAGCTCTTTCTAAATATAGAGCATGAATTTCAACAGGTAGTATTCTCAAACGCTTCTTATAATTAATTCTACACGTACAAAGGGTCCTGCAATCTACAAAGTTCAGAAGTGAGCGACAAGACTGTAAAACACAACTAAGAAGTAGATTGCAGAGAGAGCAGATTCACTGCTGTTTAATGAGTTACATTCTTTATCACGCCTCCTTACTGCTGTCCTCACATCTGGTTTGTGTCCTGTTTTTGTTGTAAATATAAGGTCTTTCTGTTTAAGTCTCGGCCAGCCTGCCACATGTACCCCTGAGAGGGGGAGGGAGAGGATTAGACGAAGAGAGAAGACAGAAGCAGATTTATAAGTGAACAGATACTAAGGCACACATTATCATCCCTCCCCCAAACAGAACAATCACCTGTTTGTGCCTACACCAAGCACCTTGGGTAAGCTAACCCCCCACCCAACACTCCGCATAGTTATATATAAACATTGTGCAAAGGGCATGTGTGGTTGGTAGATTCAAAAAAAATCCAACATTGGGAGCCACATAGTGCATGTATGCTTCAGCACATCTCACACATATATCTCTATGTACGGGTCACATGTAATATCCGAGCATTGCACACCCTCCAAAAACGGCTGCACATTTTGAAAACTATTAGCAGACCATATTTTCAAGTGGCCAGAGGACAAGTTTACAGGCAGCATTACTGATCAATATATTTAATCGGCATGTGTGATGCAGACTTTGCCTCTGTTGCCCAAGTCCATGAGTATTACACTCCAAACACCCAAAACATTTTAGTTTGCTAAAATCCTATGTGTGAAGGTCTGAAGAGTGCGTCCCCCTCCCCCCAACCTCTTCCCCCACCCCCAATAAACCTAGTTATACCTCCTTGGCGGTCAGACGACAGCTCCTGTTACTTCCTGGTTTTTTTTAGCTCAGGGGAACTAAACTAGGAGGCAGCAGTTGCCCAGAGTACCTGCCTTGCAACAACTTCTCATTGAGCTGCATTGGGTAGTCTGTGATTGGACAGCCATAGAAATTCTGGGAGGGGTTAGCAGGGAATGGGTTGCAAAGGCTACAGACAATAGTTCTGCAGCTATTAAGGCTCTTGATAGATATACCTTTCTACACCCCCATAACAAAAAATGCATAAGTAAATGTATGCATGATTTCATTACTGGTGTGGCGGTATACCCTCTCGAGGATGGATTACTACCGACTGTGGTCACCCCTTCCTAGTTGTGCCCAGATGTAGAGTGATTAGAGCTGCTAGCCAGTGATTAGTCGTTTGCAGAAGGGCAATCACGGTATCACCCAAACACTAGTCAAGACTTGGTGAAGGGTGAAATAGAACTGTTTATTTCAGGCATGATATGCAGTATTTATGCACTGACCCCCAGTAGGGGGTCTCCATTCAAAGTAACATTAAAACATACGCCCGCCAAGGTGATGCGGTGTCTGGGAGATAATGGTATCTCCTGGACAAAGGAAGCCGAACACACAAAAACCACAAAAATACACACAATACAGTAACGCACCAGAATCACTTGGTTTCGGCCAGTGGATTCAAATCTTCCGCCTAAACCACGCAGCAGCCAATGAGGAGAAACGGCGGAAACCAATTTGCACCAATCAGCGCTCAGGAAGGGGAGGTGTTTCGCCTGCCAATCGGGAGAAAGTGTGCAGAACCGGTTTGAATGGCAGCCCTTCTCCTATTGGCCGGCACGGACTTCAAGGTGGCCAGCGTGACTCTGCGGCCGTGAAGCAGACTCATCATTCCAGGGAGTCTGCTGGGGTTCGTGTCTCTCTCCGGTGCATACCTCCATGCAGGTAGCAATGAAGAGAGGACTTTTTGGGCAGCTACGAGCCTGGACTCGTAGCTCCTGGGTAAGGAGCCCCTGCGGTCGCTGTCTGCCTTGCTGACAGTCCGGCTGCAGGCATGAGGCTCCTGGAACTTCTCCGGCCAGTGATTATGGCTCCTTTAGGAACAGGTAGGGCAATCCCCTGCAGGGGGACCTGAAAACAATGCAGCCAAGCAAGTGGGCACGAGGGATGGCATTCCGTCACAACCAGTAGATCTATAAGAGAGTGTTTCTTTATGCTATGGCTTTAAAGTGTGCCTGTCATGCAAACATGACTTGGTGACATTTTATTATACACTTCTCATATTGAGCAGTTAAATTGTTTTTCCAAGATTGTGGACCACAACCACTAAAACAATCATATCTAAAGGTTCACCAGTTCACTCCTTATGCTCACATAATTCGCTTTGATGAGAGCATGTGTAAATCCTATCTTTCTAAAAGCGCTTTTCCATTATCGAAATATGGATAAGTGAACCATTATTAAGATTGAATTGTGAATTATGCATCAATAAATTAAATGCTCACCTGATCTTCCGAATGAAACATAATCGGCCACTTACCTCCATGGGTGGCCAGGACACCTTGAGAAACACAGCAATAAAGGTTTATACAGAAAACGGGATGAAAGCCTTATAGATAAGACTTTAAACTTTAAACTGAGATAAGGTACAATAAAGTCTAATTAACTCATAAACCTGTGATTTAGAGGTGCATGCAGTCTACTTATTGCAACAACATCCCTAACTGCATCTAAAAAAGCACAACGGTAATATAAAATGAGGCAATGTTAAACAAAATATTCCGTGAATTAATTACTTGCAGCTGAAAACGTTTTCTCTTACAGAACTCAAAAATAACTCAACTTTGTATACGTACTGCTTGCTTTCCAGTGCTTTGCTTTAAAATATTAAGATAATCTAAGCCTAGAGAAGGAAGGAGTTGGAAGGCTATAAATGCAGTTACACAAAACAAAACCACATTACTACATACATTAACATTAAATATTAAATTAAAACTCAGTGGGTCAATGCATCACCAATACGAGCAGCGTTACAACCCATCAAAGACAGAGGAATGGCTCAATTTGGGTTCAGAAAGAAAAATGGAGCTTGGTTTAACTTTAGTCCCAACTTTGACAGGTCTGTCACTCAGATAAGAAAGTGAGGCATTTATAAAACGGTCACCAACTGAAAATGGATACACCCCCCATTGAAGAAGCAGGAACATCATCGTTTTGGTTTTAATGGTGACTGCGCCAATCTAATACTTTTGGACATATACCACCAAGGACTACTTTCAGTATATGGGATATGAATGGATGATGTCAGCTCTGTAAATTATGGGATTTAATAAACATGAGCGGCATGTTAAAATAACATCTGTAATTCAGTTTAAAAAAAAAAAAAAAAAAATCAATGCAACTTAGTTATTGGAGTATAAACTCCAATTTTAAAGAAAGTGTTTAAGAAGTCAACACCTCCCCTGAAGCTTTCTAATAAATTGCTTGCTTTGATGTGAATAGTTTATCCCCATTACTCACCCCAGGCTACCCATGTATACTGATGTACTAAGCTCACAGTCTAATCAAGAGCTTGTGCAGACACTTGGGACATTACAGCTATAAGTGATAAGATCACATCTAGTGGAACTAGTCTAGTGAGAAATCGAGCACCTGCAGATTGGTAGGCACAGAGAATGTGGGTACATGCAGAATTCAGAAAGAAAAGAGGAAATGAAAAACAAAAAAAAAAACCTTAATTGGCTAAAGAAAAACAATAAAACCGATTGAGTTTAAAAGTATATTTTATTAGACTGTTTTGGCGCCATCATTCTGTATGTGATGACAACCAACATGAAGACTTTTACATTTCAAAGCCCTTGATGAGGAGGTGCCTCTATTGTACTAAATCACTGCATTATGATACAGTTCGATTGGTGCTTAGTGTGTCCCTTTAATTTTGCTGCCATATGCAACTACCTATCTGAAATTGACATTTCCATGAGAGAGCTTGTCTAGCTGATGTTGGATGCCGGGGGCATCTATCTTTTATTAGTAAGGTGAATCACAAGAACACTAAACAAAGTGCAGAATTCTGTTTAACTCAGGAACACATTTGCAGGTGCCGAGATTAATTTAGGCCCTAATTTAGCATTGGCCTGGAGCCTTCCACCACATTCCTACCTTTTGCTTACATATTTAGATACATTTAAAAAAAAAAAAAGTTTTAAAAACAGTATTAATAAGGGATATGTGTGCCCACTTTTATTAAAGCATTGTCCCTATTTAATAATAAAAAATAAAAAAGAAAGAAATCTGACTGTGCAGCCTCCAGAAAAATAAAATGAAAACTATGAGAATGTAGGCACGTCACTTATCAACTTGACTCGCAAATCAATCTGTGTTGCCGTGGAAAGTTGGCTGGCACACTCGTTACACTTTCAACAGCAGGGAGCTGTGATTTCCAAGAGTGGGCATGGTAATGCTTATCGTGAAGGTCAACAGCAGAACACACCGCATGAGCAGTGGGCACTGAGTCAAACACAACTTTCCGGTTTCCCGTCAGAGTTCTTCTATAGGCTCATGGACACTGAAGGCCATCAAAGCCCATCTGCCGGAATATCTGGGAGCTAACTGCAAAAAGAGAACAAGTAGCGCCCAACCCCCTCTCATAGCAGAAACGTCAGCGTACATAGGGAGCTACACTTGCTCTTGCAGAAGCAGGGCTTTGGCAATTCTCACAGATTAGTGGCGTTCACATACAACTCCCATGAACCAATGTCAGCTGGTTGCAGCGTTTTAGGCAAGGAAACTACATTTCAAGAGCTAAAGGATCATAATTTCACAAAGAGCGTCAAAGATGCGGTTATTGGTTTAAGAATTTTTTATTTTTTTTATTTTTAAATGATATAATATAGAAGTAAAAAAAAAGTCAAACGCTGCAATGACAGGATAAGTGAGAAGGAATTCAATTAGGAACGGTACAAATGAACCAAGTAATACATTCCTGCCACTGTGCTCAATTCAATCCAAGACTAAATATATAAATATATATATATATATATATATATATATATATATATATTTATTTTTCGTTAAGTTAAAAATCCAATTGTGTCTAGCATAGCATAGGATTAGATTTTACACATTTGTATTTGTGCTCAATCACGCTTTAATGTCACCTGTGCTCCTGGTCACATTCTTGGGTGAATTTCAAATCTATTTAATCACGAGCCTCAGCGAGAAAGACTTGTCATGCAGGACTCCCTGGTTTGACACTGACAACCCATATTATATCATTCTTTACTTGGAAAATCAGGCTCTGCGTGGGAAACCCAAAAAGTATGTTTCTACTGGGGAGGGACACACAAATAAAGAAAAAGTGACAGGTTTCATAAGATGGGGGCTGATTTTTACAATTCTTTTGAAACGGACCAAGTAGGTTCCTTGAAAATTTATTTCAAGTGCACCTTCCAAGTAAAAGGCAAAGCAAGAATGTACTTAAAATGTCATTTTAATGTACACAATTTAGATGGCTGTGTGAACAAGTACAGTCAGTGCATATGTGCACTGCTACAATGCCCACTGTTATTATTGACAGGATATGGTTAACTTTACCCTTTGTGTCACTATACCCCACTCCCTCTAGAATGTAAGCTCACTGAGCAGGGCCCTCCACCTCTCTGTTCCTGTACGTCCAGTTGTCTGGTTACAATTACATGTCTGTTAGTTGACCCATTGTACAGCGCTACGGAATCTGATGGCGCTATATAAATAAAAAGTAACAATTCAATTAAATTATATAACGCTTTAGTAGACAGATCCCCAAATGAAACATGTATGCATTTTTTCCCTTTATACTTTCTTAGGGGATACAGTATATGAAAAAAAAACAGATTGCAAAATCTGTAGGCCTGCTGTCTGCAGCCTTTGCAAGGACTTCCCTTTCAGTCCATGCCAGGAATATTCCAATCAAGGCATCTTATTGAGAAGCCTCTGTGCTGGGGCCACAAAGTGCATGATCACAGCTTTCCTATGCAGCACAGGTCACTGAGAAGGGAGGATTTGGGACTATTATTAGTCTTAATAAATGAAGCATATAACCAATCTTATGACATACCTTTGTAACAAATTACAATAAATAAATTCCTTTTTTTTAAAATCACAATTAAGGAAAAAGAAGAAAAGTAAATGGTTATATACAAGTACAAATTAACTGTTACCCAGACTACTTCATCTCAATGATCAAAAGGAGACATTCTGCAAACAGTGAGTAATGTTATAAGCAGGTACTGGACCAATACATCATCTTCATTTTCCACAACTCAAAATGTAACATGCAATATTTGCACAGATCCATTCACTCTTGATGGTAAGTGATGGGCTATGAAACATTAGTGAAACATTTAGCAAGTACTTGTGATTTACTGGTGCAGCTAAAGTAGCCATTTGTTCTATGGCATTATTCTAAAGACTGTATGTTTCTGTCCCTCTGCAAATTACATTATGGACTTAAAGGGACACTATAGTCACCAGAATAACTACAGTTTAATGTAGTAGTTTTAGTGAGTATGGTCAGTCCCTGCACCCTTTTTGCAGTAAACACTGTCTTTTCTGATTAGGTCATCCAAGGAGGCAGATCAGGGACAGAGCCAACACCAGCAGACTGGAATAAAGGTAATATTTTACTATAGTTAGGGGGGCTAGATTGTGTTTTTAACACTGCAGGGTCAGGAATACATGTTCGTGCCACTAATCCTACAGTGTTCCTTTAATCTTAAAGGGACACTATAGTCAACCAGACCACTTCAGCTCAATGAAGTGGTCTGGGTGCCAGGTCCCTCAGGTTTTAACCCTTCAGATGCCAACAGAGAAACTGCTATGTTTACATTTAGGGTTAATCCAGTCTCCAGTAATCCAGGTCACCAGCGCCGAGGGAGCCAGGCAGTGGAATAAGGTAAGCTGCTGAAGGGGTTTTCTTGACACTATAGGGATCCTATAAAGGTTGGAGTCATTAATACATTTTTGCCTTTAACAGATGTTGTGAAAATCAAATAAAATGGTATTTGTCAATATTAAAAAAAAAAACAAAAAAAAAACAACCACACAAAAATAAATAAAGAAAATCTATTCTGACCAGCTCATATAAAGTATAGCTTTATCAAGGTCACCCATAAATCAACTTCTCTCTACACTATAAAACAGGAAGTATTTCTTAACTAGGGATAGTCTCTTTTTATGCCAAAAAATTCTAACTGTAAACACTAGATGCTGAAAGGGACACTTAAGGCACCCAGACCACTTCAGCTCATTAAAGTGGCCAGGCTGCAGTGTCCCTTTTGCACTTAGTGCTGCAATGTAAAACATTGCATTTCCAGATACACTGCAATCTAAGTCTGCCTCCAGTGGCTGTCTACCAGACAGCCACTAGAGGGATTACTGGATTGAAACGGACCTTTGGTCCAGTATCTGACGCTGGACATACTCACGCTCTGCATGAGGATATCTAGCATCCGATTTTTCCCCCATAAGAAAGCATTGATTCAATACTTTCCTATAGGGGCGGTCTAATGCACACACAGCATTTGTTGCGCATGCGCATTAGTGCCCGCTCATCAAGGGACATCGTAGGGGTTGGAGCTTTGTATTCCTGGCACTCTGGTATCCCTTGAAGTCATAAAATAAAAAAATGTTCATTATTATTATTTTCTTGCCTGTATAATTAATAAGAAAGTTTTTTGAACATGTGCTAGTTATGCGAGTGTAGCGGGACTAATTAGCAAACAGGGATATAGCTCAATCTGGGTCCAGTTTAAACGTCTCTGTTGTAGGGAATTAATAAAAAATACAAAAATTAAAAAATTAAAAATGCACATGTAATTTCCTTTTTTAATTTGTCATTACCAAGTTTCAAAACAAATAGTGCTTGAAAGGTTTCTTTATGTAGATTTCATCTGTATACTATGCTACAGAAATGCTGGAAAATGTAAAGATTCAAATTTAATACACTTTAAAGGTCAAGGCCATCTGACTGCGATTAGAGATATATAGGAGAGAAACAATAACAATGATGTTGTTTGTTGGAATTCTTGTTCTAGATTCCACAGATTACAGTATAAAATCAACATGTGGTCATTCTCTACCCTATTGCTCCAATAACGACTGGTTGCCCTGTCTGGCCATCGTTCTACTCCATTCTCTGTCCAGGTCCAGCAAATATTCCAACATCAGCTGGGAGGAACAGATGAGGGAGCTTGCAACATAACCTTAGAAAGGAGAACAGGCTGTCAAAATCCTTGAAAATGCCCCTAAAAGAAATTACATGTCCATAAAAATAATCATTGAGCAACAGAGACAACACTGCAGAACCTGGCCATCAGTGGGGCTTCTCGAATCACTGCTTTCCTACTTACTAGAATCCATAAAACCCAGAGTTTACTGTAAGGAAGTAATCACTTCTAATGAAAACCATTTTTATTTCCCAACAAGTTTTCTTGAGAAATTCAAAAGAAGCCCCCTTGATAACAAAGAAAATTACCCCTACTGAGGAGGTCCTCTTACAGCTAAATAGTTCATGGCTCCAGTTATCCTCAAGGGCACATTTGTCTACAGTGAACAAGTTAACGCAATCAGAACCCACATCACAAGGAAACATTTATACTCAGAAATGACTTCCTGAAGTGATGCTCAAAGTGGAGTGTGGAGGACATGGTCTGTTAACAGAGTAAATAAATCTGTCAGGGGCCCAGAAACGGAATACAATACTACGCACAACACAGTAAGCGAGACCTCTCCGAGCATGCTGGTTGGATTCACACTACAGACACACAGCCAACTGTCGTCACCACGGGACACCTACACAGTCACACCACAATCAGAAAAGCAACATGCATGTTACACAAACACACTGTATATGGTTTGCTTAATGGCGAACAAACAAACCCGCATTTGTGGCTAAAAAGGCAAATATTTGGAGAATACTGGTAATAGTGTACAGATGCAAAAAAAATTTAAAAAAATGATTTTCTTTAAAAGTGGATACTCTTTCTTTGACCATTTACTGTACAAATAATTTATGTTACCAGGAGAGTCGGAATAACCAAGACATTTGCATGAACTTGACAAGTTTATCAACTCACCCTCTAGACTTGCGAGGTTTAGAGCAAACATTATAGTGTCACTATAAGCACAAATAGCAAACGCTCATTACATAATGGGTGCAAGTAGGTCCCCTGGGCTGCATGACTGCACAAGTCACTGCAGCAATTTGCAAACATTACTGCAGTAATGGGGGTTTATCTATATTTCTGTCAGATACCAGAGAAGGTAGTTTCACTTCTGACATCCACGGTGCCTAGGGAGTGCAGTAGCTGGGTCTGCATGCGAGTCTTTAACTATCCCAGGAAGTGGCGGATTTTTTGTTTGTATGACTTGGTCCTCCTATTGTTCCCATTTGCCCAGCAGGGGTTTGTCAAATATGTAATAAGTGATCACAAGTCGTGTCATTTGCACAACAAACAAATAATGAAACTACTTGGAAACTTATACAAGAACCAAACAGTTCATGAAAGGGTTTTCATGAATGTAACTACTTGACTGCATCTAGAGAGGTCTAGGGGCAGTGGGAAATCATGGCTTCCTCCTGTGAGGTCAAGGTGGCATATAGCAGTAAATTGACAAATTGCAGCAGCTAAAATGAACAATGAACGAAGAGGACGGGGAGCTCTGTATCCCGATTGTTCCTTTCATTAACCACATGGCCAAACAAACATGGTTATTATACCAAGGTGAGAATTCAAAGTGAATTTCAAATTTATGGCCAGAGTAGCTGAATGAAAAGCATAGCCGACTTAAAATTGAAATTCACTTTTGTGCTAACCTTGAATTCTTATTTTAGTTAATAACCCTAAAACATTTCGGTAAACTTCAAGTAAGAACATAAAAAAAAAAATAAACCACTTAATCAGAATTATAGCAAGCGGACTATTCAACTAAGCCTCGGCTGCTGATTATTGAATGGTAGAGCCAACACTGATCAATTTTGCTGCAAAAACTGAATGGTATCACTTTAAAAGGAAAACCTTCAAAAATGTTTTATTACTATTAAAAAAAAAAAAAAAAATCAAATATTGTCTGTGTTCTGTAATGAACCCATGGATTAAAGGGTTACTCCAAGCACCATGACTACTACAGTGATTTAAAGAAGTAATGGTGGTAGGAGTCTGGATGCACCTGTACGTACCCAACGTCACCCGCAAGATTTTTAGGCCTTCCCTATAGGAAAGCATTGCTTTCTATAGGCATGTTACTGACGCTGGATGTCCTCATGCAGAGCGGGGGAACGCCCATCATCAGTTATGCGGCAAATAGTAGCATAGAAATGCTTTTACTTTTAATGTAAACATTGGACTTTGATCCATTGCTCTTTGTGCTTGTGTATTCATGCATGCTAAAAATTTTATCATTTTCATACATACACTTACCAGGTCCTTGTGTTAAAAATATTTGCCTCGCTCTCCTGTATTGCACACTAATAGCCAGTACCTGAGCAGAGTAATACCCGGTACCTGAATAGTAATATTTTTTTGTCAGCTCTATACCTCTCCTAGAAGTCACACTCTCACAGATCGTATCCCCTTTCTATTGTAAAGTGTTGTAGAAAATGTTACATATTACAGCTAATAACAATAACTCCATATACACGTTTCCAGCTCCCTATTCCACCTCAAACGACAATATGAGAAATATGATTTATCACGCTTTACAATACTCCTTTAGCCTATACGACCTGGCCATTATAATCACCCCCTCTGCCACCTAAAACAAGTAGTAACTCAGTCAAGCATTTGGAAATCTAACAATACAAATATGTATATGATGAGGACATGCATTATAAAATTATAAAAAGTTCCAAAAGAAAAAACGGTATATTTAGTATTAGCCATTCATCCTTACAAAATTTAATTTTTAAAATGCATGATACCTTTATTAATTAAAAAAAAAATAAGTAAATCTATAGAATCCAGAATACGTTCTTCTGTTTAAATTTATTTTCATAAATCAAGTAAAGCGTTCAGAGATTACATCTTAGCATTATTCGGCCAATTATACTAGAAAGAGTATGACCACGTCTGTTCTAACCTTAGATTAATAACATAGGGCAAATTTAGTCATCACTGTGCAAATTACAGGAGGTTTAGTTATTTCCTAGACAGAAAATTACAGACAATCCAGACATGGACGCATACATTAAATAGGATAATATGGTTCTTTTGCCACGTCAAATGACAATATGGTATTTGCTGTAGGATATTACAGTCACAGCATACTAAACGTACTGTAAGAACTAACAAAATTAATACTTACGACACACTATGAAACAGAGTGATCAGGTCGGTACTGCCAGTACATTTAAACCCATCTATTCACATTTGGAAAAATGTAAATATTGGAGCACATAATTCTAACAGGTGAACATAATACAGCATCAGCATTTTGTCCTTGTAACAATTTGTAACTGTATAGTTTATTGTTAAATTTCCCCTTTATAATATTGTCAAGCGCTGCAGAATAAGTTGGCGCTATAAAAATTCCAGACACAAAAATGAATGCAGTCTTTATTTATTTACTGGAATCACAAATTTCTGTGTCCTTCACATTTGGGAACTCACATATAGAAGAGCAATCAGCATACTCACCGATTGGGTTTCTCCTGCACTTTGCGGGGGTCCGGTGGCTTGTAAGGAATGATTCTGGGTTCAAAATTTTCGCCGTTCTCCATCCCAGCTGGAACGGAGTTCGGTTTTCTGGCTGAATTAACATTGCTCCTATCATGTATGGGGTCTGAAGCCAACCCTGACCCCCCGGGGAGCCTCAATATACTCCCACATGGTTCATCTACCCATGTTATACTTAGCAGGCTGAGTGTAAAGCCCAGAGAAATGCCCACCACCACGGGGCCCGCAGGCCGGAGCAATGACAGTAACATGGACAGTCGCATTGCAGCCTGCAACCCCCCAAATCCCAAGATGAGCAGTGCCAAGGGCACTGGCCTCGGTCTGCAAATTGTGCGTGAGAATTAGCGGTCTCTCATATGCTATGTCCAGCTCATGTCCCCTGTGTCTACCTAGATAACTAGAGAAGGGGGGACTCCTAGGGGACCAGCACAGAATCCCCCAAATTCCAGGAGTTGCTCTAACAGTCCCCTCACTCAGCTCTGGGTCCCAATAAATAGAATCACTGAGGATGTAAATAGTGCGAAGGAGCACAGACTGACTGTCTAACTTTGTGCTGGAGTCTCTCACACACAGCTGGTAATGCCCACTAAGCTGTCTCTCTGCAGCCCTCTCTCCCCATGTCTCCCAGCAGTCTCACTCTCTGTGTGAGTCTCTCTCACTCTCTGTGTGTCTCCCAGCAGTCACTCTCTGTGTGACTCCCATTCACACTCCTTCCTCCTCTAAGAGCAGCTCCCAGCCCTCTCTCACTCTGTCTGTCTCTCTGTGTGTGAGTCAGTCTGTCTCTCTGTGTGTCTCCCAGCAGTCACTCTCTGTGTGAGTCTCTCTCTCTTTCTCTGTGAGTCTCCCAGCAGTCACTCTCTGTGACTCCCATTCACTCTCCTTCCTCCTCTAATAGCAGCTCCCAGCTCTCTCTCACTCTCACTCTCTCTGTGAGTCTCTCCCAGCAGTCACTCTCTGTCTCTGTGTGACTCCCATTCACTCTTCTTCCTCCTCTAATAGCAGCTCCCAGCCCTCTCTCACTCTGTCTGTCTCTCTGTGTGTGAGTCAGTCTGTCTCTCTGTGAGTCTCCCAGCAGTCACTCTCTGTCTCTGTGTGACTCCCATTCACTCTTCTTCCTCCTCTAATAGCAGCTCCCAGCCCTCTCTCTCTGTGTGTGGGTCTCTCTCTCAGTGTGTGTCTCCCAGCACTCTCTCTGTATGAGTCTCTCTCTCTGTGTGACTCCCAGCAGTCACTCTCTCTGTGAGTCTCTCTATGTGATTCCCATTCACTCTCCTTCCTCCTCTAAGAGCAGCTCCCAGCCCTCTCTCTCTGTGTGTGGGTCTCTCTCTCAGTGTGTGTCTCCCAGCACTCTCTCTGTATGAGTCTCTCTCTCTGTGTGACTCCCAGCAGTCACTCTCTCTGTGAGTCTCTCTGTGTGACTCCCATTCACTCTCCTTCCTCCTCTAAGAGCAGCTCCCAACAATCTCCCGACGTGTCACCTCCCTGCTCCGCCTCTTCCCTCCGACGTCATTGGGACGTTAAAGTACGTCATCGCTACTTTACCTCTTCCAATGCCAGCGACGTTCAGAACGAGACTCGGAACGCGGAAGTGCCAGGGAGCTAAGACAGCAGCAGTGATTGGCGGAAAAAGGAATGGGCGGGGCTTAACAGGGTTCTCTATTTCAGTCACTAACTAAGAACTTGGTCAAAAGTGTACCTGTAACCAAATACTGATAATCAATACTGACACTGATAATCAATACTGATAATACTGACACTGATAATCAATACTATCAATGATAATCAATACTGATAATCAATACTGACAGTGATAATCAATACTGACAGTGATAATATATAATGATAATACTGACAGTGATAATCAATACTGACAGTCTCCCTCCAAGTCAACGGTGCTACCTTCAGCTCCACCATGCAGGCTCGCTGCCTAGGTGTTCTCTTTGACTCCGACCTGTCCTTCACGCCTCATGTTCAGTCTTTCACAAATCCTGTCATTTCCATCTCAAAAACATTGCGCGCATCCGCCGCTACTTAACGCCAGATGCGACTAACGTTTTGGTCCATTCCACTGTCCTTTCTCGCCTTGACTACTGTAATCCGCTTCTCAGTGGTCTTACGTGCTCCCAACTTGCGCCGTTACAGTCCATAATGAATGTGGCGGCGAGGCTCATCTTCCTGTCCGCCCGCACAACCCATGCCTCACCCTTCTGTCAGTCCCTACATTGGCTTCCTATAAAATATAGAGCTCAATTTAAAATTCTGGTTCTTGCTTTCAAATCTCTACATAATGCTGCTCCCACCTATCTATCCTCCCTTATACACAAGTATGTCCCGTCTAGGCCCATACGATCTGCTGAAGACTTTCGTCTATCTTCAGTCCGTACTCCCACCTCTGATGCTCGCCTTCAAGATTTTTCGAGGGCTGCACCATTCCTGTGGAACTTCGCTTCCCTCCTCCGTTAGATGCTCACCCAGTCTCCACTCCTTCAAAAAATCGTTAAAAACCCACTTTTTCATAAAAGCGTATCAATTAAACTGTTAATAGCTCCTGACTGATTCCTCTTCTGCAACTGTCATTAGTCTAATACTATCCTTACCTTTTTGTGTCATTTTACCCCACTCCCTCTAGCATGTAAGCTCATTGAGCAGGGCCCTCAACCCCTCTGTTCCTGTGTGTCCAACTTGTCTGGTTACAACTACATGTCTGTTTGTCCACCCATTGTAAAGGGCTCCGGAATTTAACAGCACTCTATAAATATCATAATAATAATAATACTAATAATCAATACTGACAGTGATAATCAATACTATCAATGATAATAAATACTGACAGTGAAAATCAATACTGATACTCAATACTGACAGTGATAATCAATGCTGACAGTGATAATCAATACTATCAATGATAATCAATACTGATACTCAATACTGACAGTGATAATCAATACTGACAGTGATAATCACTAATATCAATGATAATCAATACTGATACTCAATACTAACAGTGATAATCAATACTGACAGCGATAACTAATGCTGACAGTGATAATACTGATAATCAATACTGACAGTGATAATATATACTGATAATCAATACTGACACTGATAATCAATACTGACACTGATAATATATAATGATAGTCAATACTGACAGTAATAATCAACACTGATCATCAATACTGACAGTGATATTCAATACTGACAGTGATAATATATAATGATAATCAATACTGACACTGATAATCAATACTATCAGTGATAATCAATACTGACAGTGATAATCAATACTGACAGTGATAATATATACTGATACTCCATACTGACAGTGATAATCAATACTGACAGTGATAATATATACTGATACTCCATACTGACAGTGATAATCAATACTGACAGTGATAATATATACTGATAATCAATACTGACAGTGATAATACTGATAATCAATACTGACAGTGATAATATATAATGATAATCAATACTGACAGTGATACTCAATACTATCAGTGATAATCAATACTGACAGTGATAATCAATAGTAACAAGTAATACTGACAGTGATAATCAATACTGATAATACTCACAGTGATAATATATGATGATAATCAATACTGACAGTGATACTCAATACTGACAGTGATAATACTGATAATCAATACTGACAGTGATAATATATAATGATACTGAATACTGACAGTGATAATCAATACTGACAGTGATACTCTATACTGACAGTGATAATACTGATAATCAATACTGACAGTGATAATATATAATGATACTCAATACTGACAGTGATAATCAATACTGACAGTGATACTCAATACTGACAGTGATAATACTGATAATCAATACTGACAGTGATAATATATAATGATACTCAATACTGACAGTGATAATCAATACTGATAGTGATACTCAATACTGAGAGTGATAATGATAATCAAAACTGACAGTGATAATCAATACTGACAGTGATAATATATACTGATAATAAATACTGACAGTTATAATCAATACTGACAGTGATAATATTTACTAATAATCAATACTGACAGTGATAATCAATACTGACAGTGATAATATATAATGATACTCAATACTGACAGTGATAATACTAACAGTGCTAATCAATACTGACTGTGATAATATATGATACTCAATACTGACACTGATAATCAATACTGACGTTGATAATATATAATGATAATACTGACAGTGATAATCAATACTGACAGTGATAATATATAATGATAATGCTGACAGTGATAATCAATACTGACAGGGATAATCAATACTATCAGTGATAATCAATGCTGACAGTGATAATCAATACTGACAGTGATAATATCTACTGATAATCAATACTGACAGTGATAATATATAATGATAATCAATACTGACAGTGATAATCAATACTGACAGTCATAATCAATACTGACAGTGATACTCAATAGTAACAAGTAATACTGACAGTGATAATATATAATGATAATACTGACATTGATAATATATAATGATAATCAATACTGACACTGATAATCAATACTGACAGTGATAATATATAATGATAATACTGACACTGATAATCAATACTGACACTGATAATATAGAATGATAATACTGACAGTGATAATATATAATGATAATCAATACTGACGGTGATAATATATAATGATAATGCTGACAGTGATAATCAATACTGACAGGGATAATCAATACTATCAGTGATAATCAATGCTGACAGTGATAATATCTACTGATAATCAATACTGACAGTGATAATATATAATGATAATCAATACTGACAGTGATAATCAATACTGACAGTCATAATCAATACTGACAGTGATACTCAATAGTAACAAGTAATACTGACAGTGATAATATATAATGATAATACTGACATTGATAATATATAATGATAATCAATACTGACACTGATAATCAATACTGACACTGATAATATAGAATGATAATACTGACAGTGATAATATATAATGATAATCAATACTGACAGTGATAATATATAATGATAATACTGACAGTAATACTCAATACTGACAGTAATAATCAATACTGACAGTGATAATATATAATGATAATACTGACACTGATAATCAATACTGACACTGATAATATATAATGATAATACTGACTGTGATAATATATAATAATAATCAATACTGACAGTGATAATCAATACTGACTGTGATACTCAATACTGACAGTGATAATATATAATGATAATACAGACACTGATAATCAATACTGACACTGATAATATATAATGATAATACTGACAGTGATAATATATAATGATAATCAATACTGACAGTGATAATTAATACTGACAGTGATAATCAATAGTAACAAGTAATACTGACAGTGATAATATATAATGATAATACTGACAGTGATACTCAATACTGACAGTGATTATCAATACTGACAGTGATAATCAATACTGACATTGATAATATATAATGATAATACTGACAGTGATGATAATGATAATATATACTGGTAATACTGACAGTGATAATACTGACAATCAGTAGTGACAGTGGTAATATATGTTTATAATGATAATCAATACTGACAGTGATGATCAATACTGATACAATAATCTATGACAAAGATAATATATTGATAATCAAAACTGACAATGATAATATATTAATAATGATAATCTAACATCAATGCACCCACTCACCAATAGTGTAACCAGATACTGATTAATATAATCTATACTGATAATCTAAATTAATGCACCCAGTCACTAATAGTGTAACCAGATAGTGATAAATATAATCTATAATGATAATCTAAAATTAGTGCACCCAGTCACCAATAGTGTTACCAGATACTGATAAATATAATCTATAGTGATAATCTAAATGTTATGGACCCAGTCACTAATAGTGTAACCAGATACTGATAAATATAATCTATACTGATAATCTAAATTAGTGCACCCAGTTACTAATAGTGTAACCAGAAAATGATATATATAATCTATACTGATAATCTAAATTAGTGCACCCAGTCACTAATAGTGTAACCAGATACTGATAAATATAATCTATACTGATAATCTAAATTAGTGCACCCAGTCACTAATAGTGTAACCAGATACTGATAAATATAATCTATACTGATAATCTAAACTAGTGCACCCAGTTACTAATAGTGTAACCAGAAAATGATATATATAATCTATACTGATAATCTAAATTAGTGCACCCAGTCACTAATAGTGTAACCAGATACTGATAAATATAATCTATAATGATAATCTAAATTAGTGCACCCAGTCACTAATAGTGTAACCAGATACTGTTAAATATAATCTATAATGATAATCTAAATTAGTGCACCCAGTCACTAATAGTGTAACTAGATACTGTTAAATATAATCTATAATGATAATCTAAATTAGTGCACCCAGTCACTAATAGTGTAACCAGATACTGATAAATATAATCTATAATGATAATCTAAA